AAAAGGAAAAATCACGTGGAAATAAATTTTAAGAATTTTTGGTAGATTCGGTAAGATCTTGGATTTTCTAGTTGAATTCGGATTTCAATCCTTATATTAAGATTTGAAAGTTGCAATTAGAAGAAAGAGAACACTAAACCAATTATCACGTGAAAAGTAATAAGCATCAATCAAATTCAACAAGGAATCAAGCAATTAACAAGGCTCAATTTCTAGAGGCAATTAGTACACATAAAGTAGTTTTCAAAAGCAATAAGCAACAAGCAAGAAGAAATTGGATGAGAATCAAAGGAACCAATTATCAAGCAATCAACAAGAAGCAATCATCGACAATAGAAAGCAATCACCAAGTCAACCAGCAGCTGACCAAAAAGAAATAGAGGAGAGGCAGTGAGCAATCGGCACCAACACAAGAAAGGAAAAAATCTAGTGAACCTAGAAATCCATAAAAAATTACCAAACAAAAACACTCAACCCAATCAACCCAAAGCAAAACCCAAGCCTAAATTAGTAAAAAATCAAAAAGAAAAATCCAACACAATCCACAAGCAATACACCACTGTTCAAGCATCAGAATTAAAAATGCAAAAGAATTTTGTTGCAAGCGGTGAAAGAGAGAAATGATGGCCACTTGGGTTTTGGGTATAGTTTTGGTTATGGGTAGTTTTTTTTAAAAAGGGATGGTTTTGGTTTAGCTTTTTCTTTGAAAATTTTTGGGATATGCTGTTGGCAGAGAAAGATAGAAATGACGATGGTTGGTATTTGATTTCAGTTTTTCATCTAAGCTTGAACACAAAAGATAAGAAAAGAAGGAGAGAGAGAAAGTTGATGGTGGTTGAACGGTGGAGGTGATAACTGACGATCGTTGGATGCTACAGCGGGCTTCATTAGAAATTGGTTTGGTGTTCACTTGATTTCAAGCTGAGTTAAATAAGTTATAAAGAAGAAAGATAATGGAGAGAACAAAGGTTTTGGACAATAAGAATGAAGTAAAAAAGGAGCATAAACATAAAGATTGAAATGCTGCTATTTTAGTGACAAGAGAATGATCCACATAGGTTTTCATTTCCAAACTCGACCCATTTTGCAACTTCAAGTTTTCTTTTTTCCTTTCTTTTTTATTATTATTTTTTGTTTGTTCTTTTAATTTTTCTCCTCATATTAATTTGAAAAGGAAAAAGAAAAAACTTTGATAGGATTTTTTATGATTTGCATGTTTTTAAGATTTATTGCATTATAATTTTTGCATGATATTTTATATTTTGCATAATTATTTATTAATTGCATGATTATTTATTATTTGCATGATTGTTAATATATTATCATGATTATTAATATACATTTCCATGATTATTAATATTATTGCATGATTATTATATTATTGTTATTTATTAGATATTGGCATGATATTTTTGCATGTTTATTTATTATGATATTTTTGGTATGATTGTTGCATGATATTATATTTATTGCATGATATTCCAATATGATTTTTAATATGATTTGTATATTTTTGCTTGTTTTTTGCATGATTTGCATGATATAAAATCATCTTTGATACAACTTAGGTAAAATAACATATAATTAATTTGATATCAATTTTAGGCGTAATGAGATACTAAAACCTTCATTGCACGTAATCGATTCCCAAATTTAGTTTTGTTGATGTAGACCAAATGACAAAACCTATTCTTTTTAAGAACCTTAGGTTTACACTGAGGATAAATTTAAAAGGGATAGATTCACATAAGTGGTCAAGTAAACCTAGATATAAAAAAATTTATGGTAACTCCATATTTTTTGTGTCTAATAGGTTGGTTCTCAAAACTTAAACGTTATGATAGGTTTATGACCCCGACCATAATTCCTTTGAAGTTTTAGACACCAATTTAGATGGAACTAAGTTCAAAAGGTACAATGTCGTTTCTAAGGCATACACCTAAAATGAGATAAGCAAAAATAGAATAGTTGACCATAGATCTCACCATATCTAAACAAGTCCTATTTATCCTTTTTGCAACACCATTATGTTATGGTTTACATAGAGCTATCAACTGAAAAATGATCTCATTGACCAAATATTCCTTGAATTCTCTTAAGAGATATTCACCAACTTCATCTGATCAAAGTTTTTTTATATTTAAATCTAACTGCCTTTCTAACTTAGACTTAAATTCTTTATATTTCTCAAAACTCTTTGATCTATAGTTCATTAGATAAATATAATCATACCTTGAGTAATCAATAATGAATGTAATGAAGTACTTAAACCCTCTTCGAACCTATACATTTATTGGTCAACATACATCTGTATCTACCAATTCCATAGGTATAACGTCACATTCTTCTTTGGTTAAAAAAGGCCTCTTTGTGATTTTATTTTGATACAAATGAGGCCACAACCTAACCATAAGAGAAGGGGTTATAGGTGCTAGAATTTGAAAACCAAACCTATTAGTTGCCACCTCTTAGGGTAGCTATATGAAGTAACTGAACTATATTCTAGGTTCACCACTTTGTCATCTTCCCTTCTAAATAGGATTCACAAGTTTACCATAATTCAAAATCCAATGGCCCCAAAGCAATTTTTCATCATCAATTGTATTCTATTAGGCTTTATATGATCCAAATGTAAATGCCATAAGTATGTTTGGTTAGATGAGATTTTTTTTGTCTTTTAGATTGATGCACTTGCTTATTGTTAACTTATGTGTCATGCAGGGTATGGATCTTAAGATTTAGTAGATAAAATCATCTATCAATGAACCAAAACAAATAACACTACTATTCTAAATAATAGAAACTGAGAAACTAATAAAATTAACATTGTTTCATTGTTTAAATAGACAATCAAGAGAAATTAAATTCCTCTTAAGTTTAGGAACATAAAGACAGCTTTCCAAAACTTAAATCCTTTCATCAAAAGATATATGTCTAGATCCAATTCTCTTTATTGACATGAACTAGCATGTTTCCAATCTTAGATTTATGCTATAAGTGGTGCAAGTTTAACCTCTAGTACTTGTCTCAGTGTTGAGATATAAAATTCAATTAGGAGTCGTTAATCAATTTATTTATATCTCAAAAATCAATGTTGGTTTCGAGGTCACAGTTCTATCTTTACCAAGAAATTTAGTTTGGATATAGTAAATAAAATAATAGAGGAATCAAAGTTCTAAACCCTATCAGGGATAAATCCAGTCTTTACTTATCCATTTCTGACCAACACCTCGACTAGCTTATGGATTAAAGAGCATGCTTCTCCTTTTTATCCCTGATAACAAGTACTCATATGAATAGTTTATATGTCCCATGCTATCATGAATGCATATAAAATGATACATGTGGGCTAGCAACCTTAGATGGTTTATCAATCATTAATGATACAGATCATCGTGTTATCAATCAATTATATATATATATATAATAGTTCATGGCTTAATATAGAGTAGAAAAGTGTAACCAAAGAAGCATAAGATACAACCTAGTCTAAATGATAAATTGTAATGACAATTTATGTAACAAAGAAAGCCTTAATGACATATTTAATACAACCCATTGCTTTTACCTAACCTAAATGACAAGATAATAGATGGCATACTAAGCATGGATTTATATGAAAGTATTCACAGTCATAAATAGTAAAGTAAATCCTACATTTGGCTATATGGTATATTATCATGAATTCCTACAATGATATGTTATATGATTATGGACAATATGTCAAGATATTTATAATTTGATGAAGAAGACCAGAAAAATGCCTAAATTTAAGAAATATACTTGAGCAGACCACCTGGTACAAGATTCGAAGATATTAGTGTGTTTAGATGAAATGGATGAAGTCTAAGCTAGGATTTGAGCTCAAGGTTGATCAACAACATCAAGCGATTTTTAGTTACACGATCAATAATGGACCAATCGACTGGTGGGAGTACTGATCGATTGTCATGGGCACTCTTGGCTACAAGGTCTAATCTTGAGTCTAGCAGAGTTTTGGACCTTCGAATAAACATGATAAAGGATTCAAATGAGTTTTTTTAGTATTTTGGAAGGATTGGTACAAATATGTAGAAATTTGGAAAGTGTTTTGGCAACATTTGAGCAAAACTAGTCAATAGGGAAATGATGTGGAATGGATTATCTTAAGGTGTCAATGATAGTTTTAACAATTCAATAGGTGAATTGGTCTTAGTTTGGGAAATTTTGAGTGACTGGTAGGCTTTGATTTAAGGTTAGGGTTGTATATAATGTTTTGGGATGATTGAAAAGGACAAAGTTTGAATTTGATATAGGGAAAGTTGGTGAAATGGAAGCAATATGGCATGTTATGAAGGCTATTACCAATCAAAGATGTGAGTACTATCAGCTGAGTCGTGTTTTAGTGTTTTTCTTTGAGGTTTTGACGATTTGTTAAGTAAAGATTCAGGATAAAATCAAAGGTTTTGGTATGGATTTAAGGCTACCTATGGGTTATGAACGGCTCAAGAAGGCTTATTGGAAGGCTTGAAAAATGGGAGTTTTGAGGAGAGTTTTTCAAAATTTTGAAAAAAATTTATGAAAAGCTTAGAATTAAACTTTTGAGAAAAGGAAAAAATACCTGTTTAAAGTGTATTGAATGAGAAATGAAAAAGTTATTTATAAGTAATTAAATGCTATGAGTATTTTGAAAATAAATAGAGGATTATTTTTCCATCAAATAAATAAACAAAATAATTATTTGAAATTCATTTAAAAAATAATTTTAAACCAAAGTAATTAAAATTTGAAATGATTAAAACTCGAAAAATTAGTTCAAAATGATATAAAATTAAATTATGTAATTTTAAAACTTAATAAATTAAACAGACAGAATTCAAATAACTTGAACATCAAATTCAAAAAACCAAACTTAAAAAATCCGAATTTTGGTTAGTCAATCCACATCCGACTCTCCATTTTCTATGAAGAAAATATAGAAAATATAGCTAGATGATGAATGCAATGTTTATGGTCAAAAGTCAACGAATATTTTCAGTATTTATCTATTCTGAGTTGTGACACAGCACGCACTTTGTTTTGTTTGTAATTTTTGTCTCCATTCTGATCTCTCTCCCTTTAATAATCTACATTCCAATACTTCGAACGCCTTTAACCAAACCTACACCAAACGAAACTTTGCCGCTTGAGTTGACACTGCGAGTAGTGATGGAGAATGGATCAAAGAAATGGGCATTTAAAGGAAACAAGGCACTGGAAGTAGCGGATGCCATCAGCATTCGAGGGGTTCTCAACGTGTTAAACGATAATCTAAAAGGAAACGATAACACTAAGACTGCCATACCTCTTGGCCACGGCGATCCCTCCGTGTTTCCCTGTTTTCAAACCACTCCTATAGCCGAGGATGCCATTGTTGATGCTGTCCGATCAGCCCAGTTCAACTGCTATTCTCCCGCCATTGGTATTCTTCCAGCAAGAAGGTATATTACTATAGCCCATGACTTTGGGTGCAAAACACTTAGCACCTTTTTTTTTTTTTTCAAGGACTTCATGTTTTGTTCTTCGTGATAGATAGGGTCTTTGTAGGATGTGTTTCTTTGATACTGACATGACATGAGTGGTTCTCCAGAGAAACGAGGCCTGAAGGAGTTTCTGTCAGTTTTTCCTTGCATAAAAGTTATTACTGACTATGGCGATTGGCCTTTTTCTATATATTTTCATATTGTTAAAATTTGTTATAGATGCCAATTTTTCTGCGGTTTCATTGCTAGAAATTAACTATGGTAATTGAGGTGTATGAAAAGTTCCAGGCTCTCAGCAAGCTGTTAGTGGCGGGCGAATAAGAAATAGTTTTTCAGCGAGACTTTACATTCCATGTAAAAGATATTAAAATCCTGGGAATGATAGTCAGGGGTGTTTCAATGCTTCTTCCTCAAGGTAAACAATGGGCAAGAGAATTTCAATACGGCAGATATCATCATAAACAGCAACCTTTTTCAAAGTCATATTTTGAAGAATTAAATATAAAGCGTACTGGTTTGACTTGTATTTGTCTTTGAAAGGCAGAATCTTGGGGAAAAAGAAAACGACAACAGACGGAAAAGAGAGAAAAAAGCAAAACAAATACATGCACCTAATTTTATTTGGAATATTCTGATCCAATAGCAAACAAATTAACAAACATATTGTTTATAAACAACTTATTAGTTGTGTGCTTTTTTTTTCTTCTTTTAATAGTTATAGATGGACTTTTGTCAACATGAAACTTGGTTCAATTAGTTATGCAACCATTATTAAAAAGTGACATCTTAGCTCAATTAGTTATGCAACCATTATTAAAAGGTGATATCCAGTGGGTTTGGAGTTCGAATTCTAGTACCTACAACTCCATCTCAACTATGACTTCCTTTGTGCTAAAAAAAAAATACTTTTGTAACTGCAACTGTGCCTTATGCATTAGCCACATCTGTTGTTTAGTTTTATTTTGATTATTGTTTAGTTTTCCTATGATCTCTCTGCATTTTATTTCCAATAGGTTCAATATTTATTTATAGTTGTTTTGGAATTGTTTAATATTCTGCAAGACATTTGCATGATTGGATCATTTTAGGAGTGGAAAATAAACAGAGCCCTTGACTGAGAAAGTTATAAGCAGCTGTATTGCATAAATTTTATATTCTGTTGGGGATACTATTAATTCACCTGTGGCATCGCTTGTTTTCTTCAACTTTTGGATGTTCTTTCTTCATTTCAAGAGTTCTCTTGGTCATTGTTTGGGATATCTAAATTGTGTTGCCATTTAACTGTTGTTTAGACTCTTGACTGAAGATGTGCACACTTTGAAGTGAATAACATTAGTCCTTTCCTTCCTATAGAAAAAAGAAAAACAGACAGTAGTACAATAACAAGAAATTAATTTATACGTTATTTTTTCCTCCCTTAAATTGAAAGACAACTATCAAAATATCGTAATTAATTGATTCGATTGATAAGCGCACTTCCAATTTGTCATGACAGGGCCATAGCTGAATATCTGTCTCAGGATCTCCCATACCAATTATCTCCTGATGATGTTTACCTCACGGCTGGTTGCAATAACTCAATCGAGATCATAATTTCTGTCCTTGCTAGTCCTAGTGCAAATATTCTTCTTCCTAGGCCAGGGTACCCAATGTATGAATCTCATGCTGCTTTTAACAACCTCGAAGTACGACATTTTGATCTTATACCAGAAAAAGGGTGGGAGGTTGATCTTGATGCTGTTGAAGCTCTTGCAGATGAGAGCACTGTAGCCATGGTCATTGTTAACCCTGGCAATCCTTGTGGAAGTGTCTTTACATATCAACACTTGAAAAAGGTAGCCTAATATAAACAATACATATTTTAACTCAAATATGACATAATATAACATTTCTTTGCCAGCATTGCTTTCCCAATTACAGTTCTGATTTATTAACATGCCTCCAAGATGTTCTGATATTGATATACTCAAATTCCGGAATCTGAAACTGATACTGTAAGATTTTTGGCCTCCATAGAATATAAAGGTGGACCAAACAACATTTCAGAATATGGAATTGCTGATATCTTCATGCATTAGTCTTAATTTATTTGTTTTCTGGTGCTAAGATTGCTGAAACAGCGAGAAAGCTTGGAATATTTGTCATTGCTGATGAGGTTTATGACCATCTAACTTTTGGGAGCAATCCATTTTTGCCTATGGGGAAGTTTGGATCTATTGTGCCTGTTCTTACACTCGGGTCTATATCAAAGAGATGGATTGTCCCTGGTTGGCGTCTTGGTTGGATAGTGACATGTGATCCAAATGGCATTCTTCAAAAATCTGCTGGGGTATGTAATTAATCTTTCTCACTCTCTCTTATTTATTGCTTTGGTACAATATTACTAATTCATATAACTATTATTGCCTTGATAAGGTAATAATGATTCACATTACAGCTCAGATTTTCTTGTAACTTTTGTTTAATTTTTCAAATGCCATATTATTCATCCACAACAAAGAAAACTAGGAAAAAAGAAAGAAAAAAAAAAGAGAGTTCATTCAGGCCTTACTAACATGCATGAACATGTAGGAGGAGGATTAGGAATTAGTAAGTACCATTAGGTCTGAACATTCTGACCTGTGGATGCCGAAAATGATCAACTCTTTTTTATGCATCCTAAACTTAGTTACCCGTTAACTGCTGGACCTGATTTTTCCCTATTTAGCAAAGGGAAAACCTGTATCTGTTTTATGTTTACTTAGATTTCGGGATAAGTTTGCTGAAATTCATTGTTTTGTTGATTGGTTTACTAAATGGTAAATCTCTATGGAATGGTGCTGGGGCCAGAACTTATAGCTGCTGTCCTTGCCAATTTACTAATCAAAAAATAAAGATAGTATAAAAGATTAGAGTAGATTGTGAGTCTCCAAGTTAATTTTTCACTGTTCAGAAATGCATTTTATTATGGAAAAACCATGTCCTTCTGAGGTGGCTTGCCCACTTTTGCTTTGCTGATCATCTCCTGAAAAATGAATTGCACATTTGCTGTCTCTTAATGTCAGATTGCAGAAAGCATTAGAAGATATTGCAACATCTCTGCTGACCCTCCAACATTCATCCAGGTAGGCAACTGAAGAGATATTTTATGCCATGCAAAAGATATGTGTGCTTTTAATGTGCTTTCCTGTGTGAGTGTATCCTGACTACTGAGCAGGACTTCAATGGTTGCAAATCTATTTGCATATACAGTTCCTATTGAAGTAAACTATCTATTTGCAAAATAGTTTTATTCATTGTTCTATTTCCTTTGTTGATGATTTTATACTCAATGAAATGGTGCATCTTTTAGGGGGCAATTCCTCAAATACTTGAAAAAACGAAGGATGATTTCTTTGCAAAAATCATTAACCTCTGTAGCCAAGCTGCAGACATATGTTATGATAGACTTAAGGAGATTCCCTGCATAACTTGTCCATACAAACCAGAGGGATCAATGTTTATAATGGTAAGGACATGGAATTGATGAGATCTGAGATCTTTTTTTTTTGCTTTAAGTAACCAACATGGATAATCTCAATGATAAATTTTCATTACAGGTAAAACTAAATTTGTCACTACTTGAAGACATTGATGATGATATGGATTTCTGTCTCAAGTTGGCTAGAGAGGAATCTGTGGTTGTTTTACCAGGTAAAAGGCCATCATAAATTTATTATATGTATGTATCTAGTACTGGTAAAAGAAAAAAAAATAAAAATAAAAATCTATACAGGATTGCTGGTTGATCTCTTGTGGCTTGCTGAGCTTCTAATTTTTTAAGGAAACAATTCTTGCAGGGGTTGCCGTTGGGCTGAAAAATTGGCTGCGCATAACATTTGCTATTGAACCATCAGCTCTTGAAGAAGGTCTTCGAAGGATTAAAACCTTCTACAACAGACACATGAAAAAGCAATAAATGTGCTTATCATCCAGACCATAATAATGACTGATGGTGATCAACAACTTTGCGTTGGAGATCACTCTCTTTTTATATATAGCCACTAAAATATGTGCTTTCTTCATTTTCCCAAAGGAAAATGTAGCTTTTATTGCTCAAGAATAAAATCCTTGATTTCTACTAGCATTAAGTCATAGAAACACAAGATTGAACTTTGCTGATAAATAGCTCCTTGTCAGATTCCTTTTTCTGTATTATTATTCATATGCTTATTCTCCCATCATCTTATTTGAGGTTGTTCATGCCTTACTTTTATTTAGTGAAACATTAGTTACTAAATACATAACCGAGGAATTCAAAAGAAAAAAATGAAAGGGAAAAAATGGATTTTACTGCCCATGCATATCTCATGTGAAAATTTTCCTGGCCAACCTTTTGGAGATTCAGTTTATGAATTTCTTAAACCTGGAAAGCCATCAGATTCTAGCCAAATGAATTAGTTCTGGATTTTGACTTCTTCAAGTTTCCATTTAAAAAATAGAATGTATCATTATCATGTTTGCCATTCCATCTCCCCTGATAGCATATATCTATGCATTTTCCCTTGTATTTTCTAAATTATTGTAACATGGAGACCGGAGAAAGCACACTTTAGTGCTGAAATTCAACTCAAATGTCCAGATATCATGTTACAATATAGAGAGAAAAATGCCAAATAAGATTGCTAGGGCATTTAATTGTCCTAAGGGCAAAATAGACATTTCTTCTTTAGTATAAGTCAATTGACAAGTAAAGTATTTTGGTCATTTATTCAAGCAACCATATCAGGTCGACCTGAAATACCGAGATCCATATTAGCTCGGCGATCTCAACAACCTACGAGCCAATACCTCAGGATATTGACTTGTCATGCCCCAAATGGATAGTCAACTACCATCTTAGCTCAGCCTTATAAGGTTAACCCTAGTCCTTTAAGCTAACCTCGGGTAGCCTAGGCCTAAAACTCCCCATCACATATGCATAAATAAGCTTATCCAATATTTTTAAGGCCTCTTAAACTTTTAAGCCTTTATTCCTTCCTATTCCTTTTCCTCTCTTAAACCTATCTTTGACTTGAGCGGTGGAGTACAAACACTTTGACCACCCCTAGCTTTTGTCATTAATCGCTCTTTTTCTCTCTTTTGTGTTTTCAAGGTTTTATCTTTCTCAAATAACTTGGCACAAACATTTGGTGTGCAAAGTAAGGGTCAAACCTACAATCTTCTACTTAGGAACAAGGTCAAATCAAAAAATTACTAAAATAAACAAAAAGAAAAAGAAAAAGCTATCCTAAGTGAGTAAACTATAATTTTAGTCTTTTCTTACTCATTTTTAATGCAAATTTTTTTTTTTTTATATTTTGACTTGTTCCTTGAGGATTTTGGCAAAAATACTTCTAAATGTACATTTATCTCATTTATAGGTGAAAATAAAGAAAATGAGGAACTTTGGGCAATTTAGACTCAATTTGGAGAAATTATAATGGTAAAAGCTAGCAAAAGCCATAATTAATGTAATTGGATTACATTGCCTTCTAAGAGAGTTCTTTCTACCCTTTTCTTCTATGACTTCCTAAGCTCAAATGAATCTTAGGGAACCTTATTTTAAGTATCAGTTCTCATAATTTTTAGTTGGAATTATCTTTCTTAGCTTAATTATGCATTAGTATCTTTCTAGTATCTTTATACATACTTGAGAGGTAATGTGTGCAATATGGAGTTGGAAATTAATTTTTAGTTGATTAAATTTTAGAATTTTTCTAAGTAATTTAATGTCAAATTTGTTCATTTTATGACTTGAAATGTGATAGAAAAATTGAAAAGAAAGCTTATACGTTTAGCACCAAAAGAGAATGAAGAAAATCCAAATGTGATGTGTGTGTAAGGCTCATGTGACAATATGCTTTGGTGCCACTTTTAGGAATTCAAAAAAGGCTATTCAAACCTGCTTTAAAGGCTTCTTATTGGTCAATATTTTTACTTCTTAGAGTGCAAAAAGTCATGAGAAGAGTGCTTGAAAACGATAAGAAGTTTAAGGAGCAAAACAAGCATGCATATACCATGAAGCAAGGGAAAAAGAAGGATCTAAAAAACTGCCTATACTTAGATATTTTTGCAAGATATTTTGAGGCTTGAGGCATCTCCCATTTGCTTATAAATAGAGGAAGAAGGCCGGCCATTTAGAGACTTTTAGGCTAGAGTTTAGATTTTTTTTCTCTAAGTTTTTTTGCATTTACTTTCTTTGCACATTTTATTTTCTTGCTATCCAAACAGTCTTGTTTGACATTTTCTTTGATTGTTTTTCTTTGCAAATTTAACTTTCTGCACTCATTTTCAATGTACTTTTATATTTTCTTAATGAAATTTCTAGATTTTCACATTTATAGCTTCAATTTTCATTGATCTCACAAGTTCATCAAATCTATTTTTACATTTATGGTTTTGACCTCTTCTCAGTGTTTTGACTAACTTGATGAATCATAGCTTGTTTTAAGTCTATTTTTTTCATTGATTCCTAACTCATAGAGCTATAATCTTGTAAAAAATCTCCTACAAATTCTATTCATACAGTTCTGGATTAAGTTTGGAAGTCACGATTGAATCCCAAAGGAAGAGATGAGCTATGCATGAAAACCAGTTGAGCAAAAATATGCTTTCCATCTAGGTACTCAATTTTCTTTTGACATATTTTATACTCTTATTTTTACATGTTTACTTGTTAGTTTTTAATTTTTTGGATTTATTTTCTTGAGTTTATTTGCTGTTTAGATAGATTTTTTTTATCATGCCCTATTTTTTTTTTTTTAGATTTGAGTCCTAATTGAGTTGTTAATTCATTGAGATGAATTTCCTTTTTATTTGATGTGATTTTCTTGTTGAATTTTGTGATAAATTTGTTGATGAATCTTACCTTAGCTTAGTTCTAGTTCAATCTCCTTAGAAGTTTTTAGATCTAAATTTTTCTCTATTTAACTCAGTAAGCTCCTATTGCAAATTAGATTATGTTTTAATTTCATTTAATTATTTCTTGCATTTTTTTTTTCAATTCTTGTTCTTTAAGTTACTTTTTCATTTAGTTCCTTTAATGATCCTTTTAATTTCTAACTCAAATTTAATTCATTTTTCACAATTTAGTTCAAAGCTGTAAGTTATAGTTCAGTTCCAAAATTTTTAAGCAGATTCGATCTTTGCTATTTTTCATTAAAACTTACAATTTTTTTCTTAGTTTTCATCTTCAATTCAAGTTTTCTTGTATTTTTTTAATGCTTTTTCAATGTTCAGGTCATATTCATTTAGTTTTACATGAATTAGATTCAAAATTTTCTTTTAAGAGCCGATTTTTCCAACTTTGAGAATGTTTTTTGGTTTTTGTTTCTTCCCTGTATTTTATGATTAGTTCTTTAATTCTCATTTGAAATTTGTTGTTAATTAGTTAGTTCATTAATTGTTTTTTGTCTTTTTGCTCATAATTGCTTTCTTACTCTTGGTTTTTCAATGTTGCTTTGAATTGCATTTTCAACTTTTAATTCTTACTTTAATTTGATTCTACCTTTAGTTAGGCTACTATTCTTATTAATTTTCAAGTTGTTTTGATTAATTTTTGTTCAATTTTTATATTTTCTTTTGTTAAAAAGTGGAAGCTAGTTATAAGGTAGTTAAAGGAGTTATTGGTAGTTATTTTTGGTTATATTCATATAGCTACTATTTTAATTACTCTTTGCAATTGGTATTTTCATTCATTAGTGTAGAAGTAAAATTTAATTTATGCTTAGTTTATAGAATTCATTTTATCTTCTGTTCTTTGTATATTTTCTCATTTTACTTAGTTTAGATATTTGTTGCTTTATTCGATTTATTTTCATAGTTAGTTTCATTTCATGTTCAATTTGTGATTGAGCCAACTTTAGTAAATGTGTGGTGATAATAAATACTTAGGCTAAGGATATCTCTAGCTAATCTTTGTAAGAACAATATCTTGATCGAAAGGTCACTATTATTACTTGTACGGTCTGTGTGCTTGTAGGATTTACTCGAATCAATAAGTCCCCTTCTCAAGTTACTTCCTTAGAGCTAGTGTCTAAGGCTCACTAGCTTAGGCTTCTACCTTGGGCTCTTCATCTTGCTCTGTCTTACCCTCTACCTCAAAAGAAACATTCACAATGGGCTTGATCTCCAAGTCGTCTTTGTCCTAAACTTTTTCTATTGCTGCTGCAGCTTCACCTTCTTAGAGCTAAGTCAAAGGAGCAAAAACCTAGTCTCTAGCTAAGTCAATTTACATGTTGTAGAACTTATAAAACTTAAGGAAGTTCTCAAAAACCCATTGCTCGGCTTGTTTCGTGACAGTAAGCTTACTCTTCAACCTTTCAAACTTGGCCAACTCCTCGCTTGGCTTGAAGTCAGGTTGTTGCTACAAAGACTTAGCCATGGCTTTTGGAATGACATATCATCAAGCTTTTGGCTCAAGTACTTGGCCTTTTTTTTTAAGCTTTTCGTTTGTCTTTTTAAACTCAACTTATAGAGTTTTAGCTCTTTCATTACCTCAATGATAGAGTTGAGGTCATGAGCATAGATCCTAATGTTCTTCTCAATTTTGTAATAGTCAGTGAAAGTTCAATAATAGTGCATCAAGCCTTGTCCCATGTTTTGATAAATAAAGGTTGGGAGTTGATCATAAACTATAAATAAAAACTCAAGCTGAGTGATAACCAAATAAAATCAATATTAATTTATAAATTGAACCGAGCTCACAAATAGACAAACCTTTTTCGAACAAGGTGACCTGTGTGATCTTTTATACCATTTAGGGTTTTCATAGGCATTCTCCAAGGAGTTAAATTCCATGTTGATAAAGACCCTCTCCAATAAGGGCTAGAGCTCGATTACAAGCTTGAAGGATAAAGATTCCACCCTTGGTCTTTTTTTAGGCCATTAAGTTTTTTTTTTCTACTTAACTTTTGGAACACGATCGAGCTTTTGCCACTGATCCAGCCTTATTGATGAAGTGGTAGGTCAATTATTTTTATTCTTTTAGATAAGGCACTGAGTTGAAAAGGGCCTTGCCAGTCCCTCTCCCTCTAAAAGGTTGTATAAAATGAGACATATCAAAATCGCTAGCACATTTGCCTTTTATGCCTACAAAACATAACCGAGGTGAGAGTTAGAACAAAATCAACAAAAGCAAACTTAATATGTAAAGTTAACAAACACCTACCCCAATATTTAACCTTTTTAATAACACTAAGGAAGGTAATCTCATAAGCATCAATTACTTTCTCT